TCTGTCCTGTTTAGGGAAAGGCACATGGAGTGTCAGTGATGTGGCTGGATTTTTCCCTTACTCCCACCCCCGTGTCGGCTATGCGATGCGTTCCAGCAGCTGAGCCGGCCAAAGAGCCTCCCATGGAGCGAGAGACAACCCTGGCTCTGCATCAGCCATCACCTTCAGGGTCCGAGCCAGCCTCCCCTCCACCGGCCGCTCCAGAACTGGAACAGGGGCTCCTATGTTATGAATGCTCGCCGGGTCCTGAGGCACAGACAGCTGGGCCATCGGCTTGCCTGGGAGTTTTCACTCCAGCTGTCCCAGTTGCCACTGGGCCCACTCGAGCCGCAAAGGCGTCCTGCCAACCCAAGAACCAGCTCAAAGAGAAGGAGCCTGACCTCCTGGAGTTCCCTCCCAAGTTGGTGGCAGAGCAGCTCACCTACATGGATGCGGTGAGCAGCTGGGCCCCCAGGGTAGGAGGGCAGGGCCAGCTTTTCTTCCGCTCTCAGCTGCCCTATACCTGCTTTTCCCTGATGTGGACTCCTAGGATATGGGGCCAGATCTCAGCTGCAGCCCTAACCAACTGTGGAAACCCATCAGGGTTTTTAGACCTGAGCTTTCACTGTCCAGCTGCAGATTGTGGAGACAGACACTGAGAAGGATTGAGGCAGAGGTACCACATAGATGCAGTAAGTCAGAACCGAGAGACCATAAATGGGAAGGCTCTGGTCCCTCGGGGGGAGGAGGGCAACTCCCTGTGTGCAGTCATGTCCATGGGTTGCCCACCCATCTGCCAGGGAGCCCAAGAACCCTCAAACTGTATTAGGCATCTGATGTGTCCTGAAGGACAGGCTAGACAGGGAAAGCCGTGCTTTCAGCCACTATGTGAGAATGGGCACCTGAAAGGAGACAGGGACCACAGGGATGAGCATTTGGAGGAGAAGATGCCCCCTTGGGAGCTCCTCCTGGAGCAGCCCCCTGGACATGGAATGATCCGGGTGCACATGCCTTCCTCCCTTCCTTTGCCTCTCTTGGCTCCTGGGGCATCCTGCACTGACTTCCCTCAGAGAAAAAGAGTGGCATGAAACCCAGGCTCTCTAAGCAGGCTCAGGCCACATTCGCAGCCTCCTGAGCTCCAGCTCTGACCTGGGACCCCTCC